AGCTGGAAGTGCCTGAACTCAAAACCACCTCGGAGAACAGGCAATTAAGGTGGTTTGGACATATCTGCCGCATGAACGAGGACATGGACCCTATAAAACCACCTTGGAGAACAGGCAATTAAGGTGGTTTGGACATATCTGCCGCATGAACGAGGACATGGACCCTATAAAGATGTTAGAGGCTCGACCCACAGGGAAGAGACCACGAGGGCGTCCCAGAGTCTCATATCAGGAGTTCATGGAGAGGATCGGAGGTAGAAGAGGCAAATACTTCAACCAAATGAAGGGGTTAAGCAGAGACCGGGAAGGGTGGCTGCGCTGGATAGAGGCTCCTCGACGCTAGAAATGGCATTGTGAGGAAGACAAAGAAGGAGTAGTTATTCTGAGGAGACCAAATGTCCCAGAATAAAATTTACTTTCTTTCTTTTTCTTTCTATAATGAAAGTATGTAAGTAAAAATTTATATGAATAACTATGTACATGTTATAAAAGAAATTTGGTTCAAGTATTTCCCCTTATACTTTTAAAATTCAAATTTAGCCCTTAAATTCTTATTGCAATATCATGCAACAAAAACAAAAACCTGCAATTTAGCTCGAAAAGGATAAAACGTGCAATTTTGTGCAAAATGAAATTTTAATATGTTATTCTCCATATCTTGAAACGGATAGATTGTTGGGTTTGTGTGTGTGAAATAACATGAAAATCCGGTCTCTAATTATAATTATATAATAATATAAATGGACAATCAGGAGTGGTGTATAATATAGATTTTTAAAGAAATCAAAAATTTGTCTGAAATGTGGTTCCGTTCAATTTATTTGATGTTGATATAAAATAATGCAATCTGAACAACAGAATACATGTAAATTACAGTTATATAATTTACAATTAAATACAAATACAATTAAATGAACAGTTGTCCGAAAAAAATGCAGGATTTCGGTTTAAAAAGAAAAACATAGGAATGTGAGGTTGCACGATGAATGGTACTCAATTGTGCAGTGGACAAATTATTCATTGAAAAGCCTCATACCGATAAACAATCGATGGAGGAAGAAGGTTGGAATAGGACGGAGCAGGTAGCAACAGCTGGAGAAGGACGCAGAAGAGAAGAGAAGTCTACTACACTGAAGAGTAAGAAGATCAAGTCTAAAGTTATAAGACTTAAATAGATTCACTTATTACAGTTGATTAGCCAGTAAGAAGTCCTGACCTTAACCCAATAGAGTACGTTTGGAATTATCTTATAAGAAAGGTTCAGGCGCGAGATTCACCTCCCACAACCTTTGAAATGCTAAATGCAGGAGGAGTGTGACAATATACCCCAAGATTTTCTTCAAAATTGTTTATGTCCAGTTTAAAAATGTTTATTATAGACTTCAGAACCATTCTTTATTATAAAAAAACAGACATTTTGGCAAAATTCAAAGTGTTGCGATACTTTTGGCTGGGAATTTAATCTCCACTACTATCAATACATTTCTGCGATTTCTGTGTTGGCAACTTTTCCATTCCCTCGGAATAGAATTTCCCATCTATAGAATTAATAAACTCCAAAAATGTATTTTCTAATTCTCTTTTTCATTTAATTTTTTGTCACATTAGTAGTGGTCCAGGTGTCTAAAAAAATTATAATTTATAGGGTAGAGGTCCAAAGAGTAGGATGGATATGGCAGTTTCATATCTAAGCTCCAATAGTTTGAGTAATAGTAAAATGGGACCCTTCCGATTGACCAAAGATGGCTTCACTATTGCCGATTTCTGATGTATTGCATTAATTTGGTTACAATACGATTCAGCATTGATGGTTTCTCCAGAATTTAAGAAGCTGAACCAAATGAAGCCCACCAAACAGTGACCATCACCTTTTTTTGATGAGTTGGAGGCTTTGGAAAATGTTCTGCTGCTTCTCCTTTGTTGAGCCACTGTTCAGAATGTCTACTGATATCGTAAAGTATCTACTTTTCATCACATGTAACAATTCTGGACAGAAAAGAGTCTTTTCTGATGAACCCAACTTTCAAGCTTTTTTAACATTTCAATCACCTTGAGATGGTGATCGACAGTCAATTTGCTAAGGATAAGTTTCCCTGTAAGTTCTTGAACAGTTGTTCTGGACTTTTCTTCCACCAAAACCTGTATAACATCGTCATCAAGAGAGGAAATACGTCTACGACCTTCTTTGTCTTCAAGGCAGAAGTCTCCTTCCCAAAAATTTGTTGAACAACCGTTGAACAGTGCAATCATTAATGCTGCTCTCGCCCCAGACTATATTGATGTTTCTGGCCGTCTGGGTCCCATTCCAGCCGAGTTTAAACTCGTAAAACAAAATTATAGGAAAATCACGTGTTGACATCTTAGTAAAGACTGAATTATTTCTAAGCAGCAAAATACTATAGAGGTAAACAAACGTTATTGTTTGGAAGAGGATTGATAAGTGTTGACATTCATACAAATGAATAATCCAGTAAACGTAAACACATAGAGGGGTATTTTAAAGAAAACTCAAAATCCTGCATTATTTTCTGGGCAACCCAATAAAATGGATGTTGGTCCATTGTTCGGCGAACAGGGGTACCTCCATAGTATTTATAAAAAAATTTACATATAATACTAAATGTTACTTTTAGAGGTAATTTATATTTTTTTGAGAATAATGTTAACAAAAGGAAAAAAAACAAAGAAATTATGATAAAAAATTTGTAATAATACACGAATTACTGCTACTGCCACTACAAATCAAACATTAGTAGTAAAGAGATGTTTTATTAATAATATAATAAGATCTGTGGGGGTATGGGTGGTATTTTAAAAAAATAATCGTATATTGATTAAATCTTAATAATAAGTAAGATAAGTAACTAGGTTCGCTCAACTCTAGTGATGCTGGATGTGCCAAATCCTCAGGGTTCCAAATGGAAACTGAGCCAACACAGGTAAGACCCACAATTCCGAACAAGCAAGGTTGTACAGGAGAAATGGAATGTCCAACATTACCCAGAACATACCCTGAAATCGTGAAGGAGGGAGTTCAGTTAAAGTTCAATCAAAGTTACAGGGAGTTTATAAATAGATGGAAGAAAGCTGTAGGAGAGGCACACCTTTCCTTAAAATAAAGATAAGATACTTATCTTTGTCTATTAAAGGGAAAGGACTACCAAACAGAGAAGGAGATACAAATGTGGTGTTCTTGGAGAAGATGAGGAATAAAATGATCTGGGATCAACAAGGTGCAAGTTAGACACACTTCCATGCAGTGGTTTGCACCACAGATTACCTTTTTTGTTACCACCATTAAATGATTGCCAATAATTGTAAAATAAGTGAATACATAAAAAGAGCACATCTATTAACATCAGTGTTGGGCAATTACTCGAGTAAATGTCGAACGGTGACGTCACGATTGATCACTCTAGGAAGCTTATCCATGAGTAAATTTCAAAATTACTCATGAAACATTTTTCTTCCATGAGTAAATCACTCATGAAAAATTTAAACGCCATATGTAATTTTTAAAAAAATTTGTTTTTATTTTATATAATCTAATTTTTTTTTTGTCTCCTTTCGGATTTAATCGATATCAGGATCAACTATTAAGTTTTGAGGGGCGTTTTTATGAAAATGCTGTCGAATTTGAAATTGCGCCCCCTGGGCCTCGACTATTTGTAATTTTTCGGATTAAATTGATTTCAGGGTTGACTCTTAAGTTTTGGAGGGCGCTTTTTATGAAAATGCTGTCAATTTTGTGATAGCACCCCCCCCCCTCGGGCCTCGACGTTTTGTAACTTTTCAGATTAAATCGATATCAGGGTCGACTAAAAAGTTTTGGGGGGCGCTTTTTATGAAAATGCTGTCGATATTAAGTGTGGACCTCCCAGGCCTCCACTTATTGTAACTTTTTGGATTAAATCGATATCAGGGTCAACTATTATGTTTCGAGGGGCGCTTTTTATGAAAATGGAGCCCAAAAGGATCAATCTTAAATCCGACATAATTGTCATAAACAGTGCCCCCCAAAACATAATAGTCGACCCTGATATCGATTTAATCCGAAAAGTTACAAAAAGTCAAGGCCCGGGGGGCGCTATCTTAAATTTGACATCATTTTCATAAAAAGCGCCCCCTGAAACATAATAGTCGATCCTGATATCGATTAATTCCGAAAAGTTACAAAAAGTTGAGGCCTGGGGAGATCCATCTTAAAATCTACAGCATTTTCATAAAAAGCGCCCCCCAAAACTTAATAGTCGACCCTGATATCGATTTAATCCGAAAAGTTCCAAAAAGTCGAGGTCCGAGGAGGCCCAATATCAAATTCGACAGCATTTTCATAAAAACGCCCCTAAAAACTTAACAGTTGATCCTGATATCGATTAAATCCGAAAGGAGACAACAAAAAAATTAGATTATATAAAATAAAAACTTTTTTTTTTAAATTACTCATGGCGTTAAAATGTTTCATTATTGATTTACTCATGGAGATAACATTGTTCATCAGTGATTTACTCACGGAAGAAAAATGTTTCATGAGTAATTTTGAAATTTACTCATGGGTAAGCTTCTAAGAGTGATTCACTTGTGACGTCACCGCTGGACATTTACTCGAGTAATTGCCTAACACTGATTAACATCAGTAGCATGCGTAACTCCAGAGCACTCACTACCCTACTACTGCTTAAACTTGTATGGTAGAAATATCATAAAGGGTGAGAAAAATAATTCAACTATAGTGAAAGGTGCAAATACCTATACTTATTCGATCCCAGCGTAAACTATTAAAGATCTGTAATGATTTTTATTTTAAAAACAAGTTATTTTAGTCTAGGTTAAAAGTATAATAGATTAAATACAATAAGACTTATATATATATATATATATATATATATGGATAAATAAGATGACAATGCAATAGTTTCATTTACACAAAGTTACAGCAATATAAATATTTCCAATCAATCAAGATACTTGACAAGAGGATACTTATAATTAACACTAACTTGGCAGCTTCTTGAATCAAATGCATTAGGCGAGCACTTTGTAAGCCATATGCATTATTCACGAGATGAGGAATGTTGTGGCGACTACACAAAGTAGCAATATGTTCCAAAGAGTCAGACGCTCGTGGAGCAAAACAACTTGTTGTTGAGAGTACACAAACAATATTGTTAGAGCCAAGAGTTGTGATCTGGGTTTCCATTCCATGAACATCGGTTCTCAATTCATCTCCACTCAAAACTGGTTCAACAATAATTGGCTGTAAACCTAAACATTAAATTTTTTTTAATACATAAACAAAATATAACATATCTAACAAGATATGCCATGTAAGAACCAGAAAACTTCAGTGGCTCAATCTACACCTCAATTGTGATAAAAAAGTCACCGTTAGTTAACCATCATCTGATTTTGTGGAAAATTAAACCTAATTTTTGTCTTCTTTTAATTCTGAACATTATAAATAAAATCCTTCTTTCTTCTTCCAAAAATGATTTTTCACAAAATCAGATATCATTGAAAGGGACGAAAAATTTACTTTTAGGAAAAAGCTCTGGCTGAATTTACAGAGCATATACCTTCTTCAAGAGACTGCTTTTCAGGGAAACTTCTACAATTAATAAGGATAAAAACCATCTCAATTCCACTAATCTGGGCAGTCTAAAATCTATTAAAAATCCAGAACCAACCAAGAAGGTTCTTGACAAGACTAATCCTCTAAATTATGACTCAGCTTTTATGAGAGGAAAGGTTACTGAAGATAGCGAATTGTTAGAAACAGTGTTAGTCATTAGCATGTTTAGTTGTTAGATTAAACAGCTTTAAAGGTTATTAATTGAAGTTATTCTTGAAGAATTATTTCTCCTAAAAATAGCCCCTCCCAGCCTGTTTGTGTGAAGATAGTTCAAAATTTCCTCGTTACGGCGAGTGGTAAGAGCAGATTGGAAGATCTAAAAGATAAAATTTAATCCGTACGAGCGCCGGTTCACTCAGCCCATTCCCAGCACAAGTATCCACGGAGACAACACCTGCACTTGAGGGCCCTCAGGTAAAAATTGTCTTAAGCCAGCATAGAAATGGTAAGCTGTTTTTGCACAATTCCTAAAGCTACCAATCCATTAAAATACAGTCCACTGCATAAATAAGTAGAATATTGCTGCTAATTTGAATGTTGCCTATTAATAACTCATGAGAGTTATTTGCTTTGCAATAATTTCAAATTTAGAAAGTTCCCTAAACACAGTAAAAAAAATATGTGATATCTGTTGTTCACAAAATTATTTTTACTTCAATACATTTTTAAGCCTCAAATCTCCATACAATTTAATTGCCAACAATTTCTGATGCCTGTTAACTAAAAGAAAATGCCTCAACTTTCCAATGGTACATTCAATACATTGGTTCATGAAAACTTATTTTTGGAAGAAATATAATGATTTTAATAGAAAAAGTCTAGAACTAAAGTTTAAAAAATAATTTAAGTTAAATTTCCCACAAAATTATTTAAAATTATGGTTAACACAGACTTATTTATCACAATGGAGATGTGAATTCAGCCCATGAAGTTTCCTAGTTCTTTACATGATAATTCATGTAAATTACAAAATTATTTTTAGAAAATAAGTGCCATCATCTTTTTTTTCAATTTGAAAGCAATTTCAAGAAAATCATTGACAATAGCATAATTTCTGAATTAAAGTTACAAAGAGAGGTTGTCATTTTCTAACTATTCAGAGTAACAATCATTAGGGTAAAACTGATAGCTTTCGGCATACTTAAGGCAACTTTGAATGGTTTTTATTCCATTTTAAATCAAATGAGAATTTGGTTCAACGATTCTGATATTGTTAAATCAGTAAGGATGTCTAATCTCAAAATTCATTAGTGAAACATGATCTTTCATGTAATTTTTCATTTACTTACTTGCTCCTCGGCGCTATAGTCCGCGTGGGACTTTGGCCTTCTCAAAAATACTTGTCTTGGTCCAATGCGACAGCCCTCCACCGCCTCGCACCAAGCTGTCTCAAATCTGCCTTAACATCCTCCAGCCAACGGAGTGGTGACCTTCCTCTCCTTCTTGCTTCTCCAGGTCGCCCATATAATATTTTCCTCGGTACGCGGTCCGCTGCCATCCTTTCCACATACATGTCCTGACCATCTTATTCATCCTGCCTTAATGACACTAACAAGATCTGTGACCCTGTAGAGCTATCGCAACTGCCGATTGTATCGGGACTTCTAAACGCCTTCTTCGCATACATGCCCGTAAATCCTCTTAAGAATCTTACGCTACCACACTCCAAGAGCCCTCTCATGTTTTGCTGAGATAACCCACGTCTCGCTTCCGTATGTGACTACCGGACGAATCATTGTTTTATAGATTGTCAATCTAGCATTACAGTGAATTGTAAAAATAAGTTTGTACGCCAATTTTCAGCACCCTGAAGGACTAGTTTTCGGCACTCTCTTCCCAGTTTTAAGAATCCTGAAGTACCGGTTTCTGGCAGTATTTAGCATGAAAGAGCTTCAATGACATAGCAGAGAAATATTTACGATGTAAGTAGGTGGATTCACCAAGACAAAATCAAACACAACTAGGAACAGAACCTAGTCCAAAATATGTAACAAGTATAGGGGGGTTGCATCATTTGAAGTTTTCATTGGAATATTTTCAAACCAATGATTGCCGAAAAATTCCATAGATCCATAATTTAAAAATACATATTTTTTAAAAATATCTGGTAGGAAATTCTAATGAAAAAAAAAACTCAACAAGAGTTCCACAAGCTCTTTGGTTATTGGCATGTCCAGGATTCCACTTTTCCACCACGCAACTTTAAATATACTTACCTTACTTGATTTGAAGAATAGCAGATACATCTGGAAAGTGCAGAATACTTTGCAGTACAGGTCACTAATATGATGGAATGAAAAGTGGCAATATATTGAAAATGCTTTCAGCTTTCATCCGCCCTGTTTCCAAACATACAATAACCCAATTTTTAGGAATCGGCAAACAAATTTATAAAGAAAGGCTTAAATAGATATGAATTCGCAATGAATCACTAGCCGAAAAAAAAAAAAAAAAGGTAAACATAACAAAAATAGCTACAAACATTTTGTTTCTTTATAAACAAAAACTCCCTGTTTTCAAGAACAATCAGAAAATGACTTCATCTCGATTGAAAATCATTTGAGATGGTGAAGAATACGTACATTGCCTTCTTTCTTCAATACTGCATAACTGATTTTTAATATATTAGTGCTGACGGTTTCAGCTGTTCAGTGAAAACAACCTTGATTGCAGTAAAGGTTGTGAATAGGAACTTTATAAAAGCAAGTATCTCCTCTTCACAGGAAAGAGGATAGCACTCTTCCAAATCACAGCAATAAGTTTTGATACCAAGTATTGTGTAATTGTTGTTCCATAACAAATAATTTCATAAAACAGGCAGAAATTTTTATTAATTTAGTAAAGATCAAAAATTGAAATAACTGAAATCCATACTACTTAATAACATTTTCATTATAAAACTCAACAAAAAAAGTAATACCATGATATAAAAAAATCAATATTTCTCAGATATGCTAAAAATCACTGTGGTTTTGATGTGTTTATCAGTGAGACGACTTGTAGACATTTTTAATATTATTTTTTATCTTTGTATTTAATTTAGTTTTTAAAACAATTTGTTTTTGATAGCCAAATTTTAATGTGAATATAGTAATATATTTAAATAAAACTAGTTGACAAAAGTATACTGAGTACTTAACAATACAACTTTCATACCTGCAGTTAATATACTTTTGAAGCAAGATTTTTGATCAATACGAGACCATAAAACAAATTTAGCACCAGGACGATCTTGCTTGATAGTAAGCATGCACAAAACCAGGCTCATTCCAGTAGCCATAGGAACCAAGAAACATCCTGCTGAGTTTTTTACACCTAAAAAGATTGTCAAAATAACCCTAAAAAGGTTGTCAAAATAAAATAAATCAAATTTTAAATATATAATTTAAATTATATTAATTTTTAAAGAAGACTGAACATTATTAATATGTGGCTGCTTTATAGTCACAAGAACCAACAAACAATACTTTTAAGGCTAAAATTTGAAACAAACACTGTTGAAGAATACTTGGCCACAATACATAACCTGGCCACAATTTTTTTTCAAATATCTCTATTTTTTTAATGAAAATTTTGATCACTCTATTATTCACTATTCTTCTGGTATAATACTAACTATTTTTTGAAATATTTTACCACAATTTTTGCAGTTTGAAAGAGGTTCTCAAATCTAAAATTAATTTGAAAATTATGGCAAGGTGTGCTATATAATATATTGAATATTTAATAGTTGACCGTTGCATTATTAAGGAAGAAGATGGTCCAGGGGTGGCTGTCATAAATAGACTAAAAAGTGGCAAAACTATTTAGTCTATTTATGACTGCTACCCCGGACCATCTCCTTCCTTGGTATATAATATAATATTATCTGTAAAAGTATTATACAGTCGTGGTGATAGAAATAGCATCACCTATTTCTTTTGATTCTTATGTTGATTCCAATGTTTTTTTTTTTTCATTACTTATTTAGGTTATAAGAAAACTTTAACAAAGTTTCAAATTTTTAATGGCTGATGCAATTTCTATGACCATGACTGCAAGTAATATAAAAATATTATTTGTGATTCACAATTAGCAAATTTTATAGTTGTCCAAATGGAGCAAAGTATATTAAAATGATTTTAATATTCAAAAGTGACATCAGGTTTATTTATGTCACAAAAAAAATTACAGGAAAATTTAAAAATAAATATTTTGAGCTGCTTGACTCTTGATCAGATTTTTTATAACATTTTAAAAACCGTCCATAACTCAGGAACCCTATCACCCATTCAAACCAAATTTGGAAAATCGGTAAAGGATCTTAAGCTACACGACTTTCTGTCCTCGAGGTGCTTCTACTTTTTTTTTTTTTTATCCACGAAAATCCCTATTTTGTTGGTATAATGAATTCTTGTTATCTTTCACAGACCTATTAAAATAATGTAATAACTAAATATGTGGATAGAAAGCCGAAACTCTCCTCTTCCTAGCAAGTCCAGGAACATAATTTTGTGGCTTTTATTAAATGTTTTTTGATGTGTTGAATCAATATATGTTATTAATTTTAAAATTTATTTAAAAGCTACTCTAAAAAAATTTTGTTGGTTCCAGAACCATGTCGATATCATTTTAACACAACTCAAGATATAAATTAAAGCAGTTTTAGCATGTTTTTTTTTTTTTTGTTAGCTCCTGTTATCAGCCCATTGAAAGAAAAAGACAATGCCATGTCGATTTGTTTTCAATACACAATTACCAGATTTTTTTTATTTATTGGAATTGACTATGGAGATATAGTGCACTCCCCTTTTTGGAAACGCCTGAGTTCTCATATTTTTGTGGGTAAACTATATTTTGTACAAGAAAGAAAAAATAGCTATTAAACATATGAAAATTAACAAACCCATAAATCTGATTGTATCTAGAAGGAGAGCATTAGCAAGTTTTGTCATCAGACTTGAGCCAGCTGCTTTTGGTTGAACTTCACCAATATCACCAGACCTACCAATACCATGTCCTAGCCTGAAATGCCTTCGAGCAACCAAACCTACAACATAAATTAAAAACCAAAATGAAAACACCAATAAAAAATCTGGTTCGCGCAACACACAACTTTCACTTACCGATCTACTATAAATAAAAATTATTTTCTGGCAATGCTGGGCTATTATAAATTTTTTTGAAGTGTATTTTAAACGGAGCTAAAGCTTAAAGCTTACAGATAACAATTCATTAAGACCATTATAATTACAAAATGTCTATTTAATATATCGACAACAGGCAATAAAAATCTAGTCACTCCATCTACTTTTATAAACGACACAACTTTCTTCGCTTTTATAAACTTCAGAATGACTAACTCCAATTTCAATATTTTTAAGTGATGCCATTTTAGTGATATTTTTAGTTGAAAAAGTTATCTATGCAGAATATGAGTAAGTTGATTTCGGAGGTGGTGATTGCAATGTTTAAATATAGAACTGAAAATGAAGGTATAAATTTAGGTACTTATTTCTTATTAAAAATGTTCTTAGAAAAGATACTTTATTAAATATCTGTAGAAAAAAGGTTTTTTTAGTCTCTACAATTAAAATAGTATATTTTAAATTTATCCAAATTTTCGCCTCTTCAGGGAAAAAAACTAGAGACCATATCTTTCCTTCTGAATAATGTGAAATGATTAACTTTTTTAAATAAACTATATTTAAGGTACTTTAGAGGAAGACGTATATGAACATAGGGCATTTAAGCCCTGCAAAGTGACATCAATGGGGATAAGACCTAATTGATATTAAAGACCACTTAATTATACAATGATACACCGAGTTTAATCAAAATCGTTAGAGCTGTTTTTGAGAAAATTGTGAAAATGTGTTTCAGCGTTGATATAAAGTGGCACTTCCGGTTAGCTGATTTTAAGGAAAAAGTTCCCGTCACATATAAGGCATATACCTATCTTAAATACGTAATATCAGTTTCTTAGGACTTCTCGTTTTTGAGCTAGACTGCTAACATACAAAAACACAGACCATTTTTCGGGACTTGGTCATTTCGACTCAGGGTATCTCAAAACGTCTATTTCTGTTGAAAACTCAGATTCAAAAATTTTCTAGATCACAATACGTACCCTTACTATATATTACATATATTGTAATGTCAACATTACATGGCATTTAAATAGTGGCGCGAAAGTGGTAACAGCACGAACTACGGGGAGAAAGTGCGTGCGGATGGTGGGGGAAGCAAGCCTCATGTAACTCAGAATGTGACCGGCTGCCAAGAGGGGAGGTTATGAGCCGCCAAGGCAGAAGGTGACAAGCTGTCAAGAGAGAATGTGACAAGCTGTCAAGAGAGAAGGTGACGAGCTGCCAAGGAGAAGGTGCTAGCCAGCAAGCTGAGAAGGTGAAAAAGGAGTCCTAGCCGGTTCGAGTGTTGATAAAGGCCACTAGTGGAGATTATTTTATGTTGGAAGAAAAGAATTAAGTGGTACAGAAAACGGAACATTCGTAAGTAAGAAGAGATTATTTCACTGACAGGCATAAACATTTGGGTGAGTGCTAACAATGCCATTTATGTGACAGAGAGATAGAGCCACAAAGTTTAGACTGGGACAATCAAGGTTTTTGAAAACAATAATAAACTTTATATGTATAATTAATGTATTTAGTAATTAGTAGATTATAGTTATTTAATGTTGAATGAGTGTTCAGTTGTCAGAACCCAACCTGAAATTTATGTTATATGTTAAAATAAATAGTATATTGAAAAAGGAAACTCGTTGTTTGATTTTGGAGGGAAAGAGGAACGTTATAACATATGTAAGTGAAAGTAAAAAAACTGATAAAGAACATAAAATAAAAATTAAACAAACATATCAGTGCACATATATTTATAGGAGATATTGTTTAAAACGATCTTGAAGGGACCATGTAAACTTCATTGTTATAGCCAATCATGCGACTATCAATAATGGCCATGGTCGTTATATTAAAAACAAACAAGGGTAAAGAAAAAAATTTATACCAAAATGGATTTTAAACTGTTGCTAAGCTCCCTCGCGGTTTAAGGTGAAAAATTAAAATGAAACTTGAGTAACAAATTTGAAAAAAAAAGAAGGAAAAAATTATATAAAAATAATAATGGATGGACTATATAATATTGACAAAACAAAACCTGGACTAAGCATTTATTTTTTTTCTTAATAACAAATAATAATAAAGAGAGAAAAAATGAAATCAATTTTATATTTGCTTGATAATAAAATAAAATAAGCTATCCATATTCTTTTTGGCCTTCCACATGGTCTTTTGCCTTCTATTGAGACATTTATTGTTATATAGAGGCTTCTAGATGGATTGCTACGAGCTACATGGCACGCCCATCTTTAACTCCGTGCCTTCATATCATAGGATGTTGATTGACCAGTTTCTGTAAGCAGTTCTTTATTGGTTTTTCTTCTCCCATGTACTCTGATCCTAGATCGCACCGGTTATTGTGCAGAGGATTTTTCTCTCAAATCTTTCAATACTTTTTTTTTCTTTTTCTAGGGTGCTGGTTTTGCACTGGTGCCTTTCTGGACGTAGCGCAAGCTTTCGACCGGGTGTGGCACAATGGCTTGCTTTTCAAGCTCAAAACCCATTTACCCTAATCCTTATACCTAGTCCTCAAATCCTATCTCTCAAATCGTTCCTTCCAAGTCCGTTGCTGCACCGAATTCTCCACTTACTATCCAGTTGAGGCTGGTGTTCCACAAGGCAGTGTTGTGGGTCCAGTTCTCTACATCCTTTTCACTGCCGATATCCCTTCAAATCCCGATACTTTCCTAGCTACATTTGCTGATGATACTGCCATTCTATCCTCCTACTCAGATCCTCAAATAGCATCTCAAAACCTACAATCTCACCTCTCCTTGATTGAGCAGTGGTGCAACAACTGGCGAAACCAAAATCAATGAAGCAAAATGCAAAAATATTACTTTCACCCTGCGACGCAGATCCTGTCCCACAATCCTTTTCAATTCAATACCACTTCCCTACTCAGATACAGTCCGTTACCTTGGCTTCCTTCTAGACAAAAGACTAACTTGGAACCCACATACGAGACTTAAAAGACAAGAACTTAACCTTTTAATACTAGTGATGCGGCTGGAAAAGTGGCACTGGGATCTCTGGAGTCCTGCTTTGCCTTTCACATGTGGGGAGAAAAGCCTGGCTCGGAGATTCCTGGGCAAATGTATATAGGTATGAATGTGTTTAGAAGTTTTTATTTTATTTTGTTTGTTTATTTTTTTTTTATTATTATTTTTTTTATTTATTTATTTTTTTTTCCTATTGATTTACATTTTTTTATAAGTATTATTTATTTACTTTTTATATTTATAGTTATCTCTTTATTACTTGTATATACTGTATGAATGAGAACTTCTAGCCTTAATACTTATAGCCCTCCAACAGTGGCTGGTTGTATTATTATTCAATAAAATATAATAAAAAAAAGGTGCTGGTTAGTGTCCAGGTCTTACAGCCATATATTAGAACTGGTTTTATCATAGCATTATACATTCTTAATTTGGGATTTCTTGAGATTTTTCGTGATTTCAATATCTTTGAAAGGCAGAATAAAGCTCTGTCATTCATTGGAGGTTATTGTGGAGCCGAGCTATTTGAATTTTTCTACTTTCAGGAATGATTTTCCTTCTACACAGATCTTGTCATTGGGGTGGAATTTTTGGCTTTTTATCATATATTTTATTTTGTCTTCATTTACTTGTATGCTGATCTGCTCAATTTGACATTAGAACATGCCATCAGGGAGGTAATTCGTACCGAAAAAGGGTTGGATCGTTGTTGAACAACACCTGTGTTTGGCTATGAAGATGATCTGGTCCTGTTAAGCAAAGACACAGATACTATAAAACTAAATATGACAATGTTAATGAAAGCTGGTAAAGAACTAGGGCTCTAAATAAATACGGATAAGACAAAATATATGGTTAGCTGCAAAAATGGTGATATTGATATAGAAGGTAATATGTTTGAACACGTAGAGCAGTTTAGGTATCTAGGGTCTGGGATAACTAGAAAAAACGAAATTGAAGAGGAGATTAAGGTTAGGCTGAAGGCGGGTAATGTTATTTTTCTGTGGCAAAACTACTTACTTGTGCCTCTCGTTCCGGAACTTAAACACTAAAATCAATAAAAACATTATCTTACCTACAGTTCTTTATGGATGCGAAACATGGGCGTTTACATTAGGGGATGAGCAACATCTTAAGGTTTTTGAAAATAAATAATTGCATAGAATATTCAGACCAAAGGAGGATGAGTTAACCAGAGAGTTCAGATGGTTAAACAACACCAAATTGCATGAACTGTATCTGGTTAATATAATTGAGGTGGTTAAATCGCGGTGAACCAAATGGGCTTGTAAAATTGTTGGGCTTAGTAACTAAAGAATTCCTAAAATGTTAATATTTGCTGTAGCGACTGGTGGTGTCGGCATCGAACCTTCGGGTTCGCTGAGCCTTTTTTTTTTTTAATGAATCGGCCAGCAAGGACCACACGAATATCATTTCTTCTTCTTAACACCTTCCGCCTTTCTTCCATTCCAATACTCTACTAAGCCTTTTATTATTATTAATATTAAAAGCTACCTTAACCATGGTTTTGTGAAAAAAAAATCACCATAAATATATACAGCAAATTTTCTAAAATTGACAACGCAAATCCATCACGTATCATTAAGGAAATTCATTTATTTTAATTAATAATAAATGTATCTCTGTGTTTTATGAGTATGGCATCCAAAAAGCTAGGCAAGCCATCCATGTGGATCTAAAGAGGGTTAATATTTTTCTTATCCAGTAGGCTTCTTTTTTAATTCGAAGAATAAAAGGTAGCAAAACTGTTCCCCCAATTTTAAGTCAAAAGGACAATTTAGGGGAAAGAGAGGGAATACTTTATCTATATAGTAGAGATTGCAAGTGTTGCGTCTTAAGCCTCAGGATGGACTTTACAGAGTCACAACTGTTAAGATATCAGCAGTGAA